ATGTTAAGACAGAATGAAGACGAATTAATGTTTTACTGTCAATGGTATAGACACTGTAACCCAACCTTTAATTGTCTTGAGTTTGACCTATTGTGGTCCCTTTCTGACGCAGAGACAACAACAGGTTAAGTTGTTGCCCTGTCAGACACAGAAATATGCCGCACCGGCGCACACCAGGGGGCAGTAAGCTCACCTTTTTTATTTATGTTATACACAAACGACTGTATTGAGCTGAGCCTGATTAATAAAATTCTGACACAGTTTTGCTTAGCTTGTAGGCAAAAACATGTAACCCGAGCATCCACAGTGCTGCTGTTAGAAGACCTTGGTGTGATGAAGTGCAGATCAACACAGGTAAAACTGTAGAAAGGGTGATAGATTCCTAATCATTTGGGGACAAGGCCCCCGCAAACATCCTTGGCCACTTGATCGAACAAGTGAAGTCCTTTATATATTTAGGAGTTCCATCTACAGCGATATGAGCTGGCACACTCAAAACACACAAGCGCCTTAGTTTCCTGCGCAGGTTCAGCGTGCTCAATTCTTACGGAGCATAAAGGGCTAAATGTGTGGAAAAATATATAAAAAAACACCACTTTCTACCCAAAAAGTCAAATAATGACTCTCAGGGCTATTAAGTATGCAAAATAAATAACAAGACGCCCATTCTGCTGTTTTCTATTGGATTTTTTCACAACATTTTACTTTGGTGCATGCATTGTTAAATGCATGGGTACATTTTAGGTACCTGAGCTTTAATTTCGTGAGTTTGGTTGCTCTTTGGGGGGGAGACAAGGTGGAGACCGCATTTGCAACAAACTGGGAGCTGAGCCGAAAGGCAAAGCTCTCAATTTACCGGTCAATCTTCGTTCCCTCCCTCACCTATGGTCATGAGCTTTGGGTAATGACCGAAAGAACGAGATCGCGGATACAAGCGGTCGAAATGAGCTTCCTCCGCAGAGTGGCTGGGCGCTCCCTTAGAGATAGGGTGAGGAGCTCAGTCACACGGGAGGAGCTCGGAGTAGAGCCGCTGCTACTCCACGTCGAGAGGAACCAGTTGAGGTGGCTCGGGCATCTGTTCCGGATGCCTCCTGGACGCCTCCCTGGGGAGGTGTTCCGGGCACGTCCCACCGGGAGGAGGCCCCGGGGAAGACCCAGGACACGCTGGAGGGACTATGTCTCTCAGCTGGCCTGGGAACGCCTTGGGGTCCCCCCGGACGAGCTGGAGGAGGTGTGTGTGGATAGGGAAGTCTGGGCGTCTCTGCTTAGACTGCTGCCCCCGCGACCCGGCAACGGATGAAGCGGAAGAAAATGGATGGATGGATGGGATGGGATGGGCTGGGCTTGCACGCGCGACTATGGGCCCCCGTGGCGTCTATGGTCCTGCCCTCGTGTCTGTGGTTGTGTCCGCAGCGTCTATGGTCCGCGCTCGTTACCAACTTACGTTCACTGAGGTGTTGTCAAAGCGGCTGTCCGTACAAAGCAGCCACAGCTGCCCTGGGCTCAGAGCGGAGGATGTGCTGTTGGAGTATGTAATACAAACAACAGAAAGTTCCCGCGGTCATTTGCCCGATCGGGCAACTTGTTAACACAGCGCACTTGCCCGTCCCAAATCTTTACTTGCCCCGGGCAAGCAGACAACCGTTAATGTCGAGCCCTGAGGTACATCCTCCAGCTCGCCTCATCTCGGCAGAGCTGCTCCTGCTGCAGTGTCTCCAGTGAAAGTGTCTTTTTCTCACTCAAAAAATATTCATACCTTTCTGGAGAATCCATCGATGCCACCGAAAATGACCATGTTATATCTAAACAAATAAAGAAAGTTTAATATTCAATACCAAATGTTGATTTTAATCAAAGCTTTTATTTTACCTTATAAGTTTGTGATTTGTGTCAATATGCACTAGACTCTCAGGGCAGGGAACAGAATAAGAACGTCTAACAGTGCATCTTAGAGAAGACAGTCTCTCCAGAACTCCGAGAGTATCCACTCTGTGAAGAGAGGCTCGGACACGTTCCCACTGGACAAGATGGCCCCTAGACTTAAGAGCACCTTTCATCATTCTCTACCCGCTGTCTGGCATTGTCTTTTTTATATCTGCCCCCATGCTATCCAACTCGCTGTCTGTCATGTCGCTGTATAAGGCAGTAACAGAAATATTATTTTCTGTCATTCTACGATGGATTGTAGATCTTGAGACACCCAACAGCTGAGCAATGTCCTTCACAGATAATGGGATATCTAACAAGTATTTCAAATATTCAGGATCAATTTACAATTTTGGGCGACCTTTACCACCATCTTGAGATTGACACTGGAATTCATAGGGCTGATCATCATCCCTTACTTCCCGTACCAGTATGCATAAGTTGGAGAGCGTTTCTACAATAGAATTTGGAACATTGTAGTTTTCAGACATCGCACTAAAAATAACAAGTTCCTGCGTACAAATGAAATCTAGGCGGTCAAAATCGAGCGGACTGTGGTCCAAAACATTCTGAAGCCTATTGAAAAGCCTCTCAAGGATGTAGTTTTGAGCATTCTGCAAAAGGAAAAGCACAAAAGGGAAATTAGCTTACATTGTACATAATATTTTTACCATTGATGCTGCCGACTCATTCAGTGTTTGTAGGAGCCATTTAGGGTTTTTGTTTTTCTGTGTGAATGTGACTAGTACATGCACGCGCATATAGTAGCATGCACGGGTCCAGTGGGTGTGGTTGTCTATTCAGTGCACGCGCTCACTTCAGCTGTGTGTGTGTGTGCCTGTGTCATGGCGGTGGGGTGAGCTGGGGAAGGAACTTTCTGTTGACCGCATGTTTCCATCAATTAAAATATCTGCACTGTCTTAATGAGGTATCTTCATTATCATACATAGCAACATTCCAAGTAAGTGCCTGATTCATTTCTACTCTCCGCAATAAACTTCATTATACTGTGCAATATCTCCGACTGCGCGTCATCAGTGTCTGCTCCCTTGCTTAGCCCGCCGTGGCGTCATGGATTAAGTTTGCCCTCCCATACGCCACTATAATTGTCAACAGAAAACCCTGTCGTTTGTTGAAGCGCAGTTTCATTGTAATGTCGGACAACTGTGGATGTTTACAATCTCTATCAAAGTTGTGAAGATAGACGTGAACGCGCATGGATGATACGCAGTGCCCATTCATTCACAAATCCGCTGCACACGTCAATCAAGGGCTTGCGCTAAAAAGGCATTGCTTTAGCGAATAACATGGATTATTGATCCCCTCACTCTGTAGTGCTTGTACAAAAGGTGAAGTGCTATTTGGTTTGGTTTTTACGGATTTTTTGAGCTTCCACTTAAATAAAGATTGGAGCTGGGTCCGCGTGAGTGTTGGGGAGAGGAACGCTGTGTCTTAGAGCAAAAGCCATAAAAAATAAAGTAAAAAAAGGAGAGAAATAATAAAGGAATCAAGAAGTGTTGTTATAGAATTATATACCCCATGAAGGAGGAAACTCAAAGGTCCTTTGTCTGATCAAAAGCGTAAGTTTATTGTTAACGCACAGTGCGGAGGGCCAGCACATCCACTCAAAAGCAGCATGTCCCAGCTCTGGGGGCCAGAGCCCCCAGCTTCCTGTATACAAGGCACACACCAAAGATAGTCACGCCCACAACGGAGCGGAGGGGGCCACCGGTGAGGAGGCGCACAGGAAGCGCCGGCGCCATCCCCTGTGGTGGCAGTGGCATGGTGTGTGAACAGACAGACAATGGTGGAAATGCAGGTCATACAGATGCAAGACGGAAAGACACAAGGGTGTGACAGACAGCAGGGACCTTCACAAAGCTCAGCATGGCGTCAGAGGGTTGTCTGCATTGATAAAAGGCCTTTGACGTCCGTGTATTTGCTGCGGCTGGTTTTAATGTAATTACTCCAAAAACTGTCACCACACTCCCCTCTTCTGATAATTCAAAACCATTTTTGCATTAATCAGTTAAATACCAGAGGCATCGTAATCACACCACCTTCAAGCTTGAAACACTTAAATTATTGCTGTCCAAAGTGGACAAGAAAAGACACATGCTTGTCAATAAAAGAAAGAGCACATTATAATAACACAATGGATCCGGACAGCGATAAGAGAAGGCAATATTAACATAATAAACACGGTCAGCACGGAAAGTAGTGTCAGTGTGGCCAGCATAACAGTCCAAGGGCCCATGCCGGTCTACGTTCGGTAGTCTTTTCCGCGGGAATACTCACGAGCAGTGCCGTCTCGCAGTCAGTGGCACCGCTCCCTATGAGCGTGTGTGGAGCGTTAGTGGTCATGGCGATGTTTGGTCATGGAGCGGCAAGACTCTATTTGCGTTGAAGCCTCGGCCTCAGCACTCGGTTGGGCAGAGTGCTCGGGGTTTGGGGTGTGGCGACCATGGCTTGAGCACGCTCCAGATCGGCCAGGCCCAAAGCTCGTTTGATGGGAGACCTCATGACAGCACGCTTCACCATGTGCCTCATCAGGAACTGTAGAGCAGCCCTCATCTCCACCTCCTCCGGACACACGGGAGACGAGACACCAGGGGGCACTCCAGCAGAGCTCCAATCTGCATTATGGCCAGAGGGAGCAGGCTCTGGAGAAATCTTTGGAATGAGCAGCAGCTCTGCATACTTGCTGCGGCTGAGCAGAGCGCTCAGGGCCTTCATGGCTCCCAGGCCTTGGGGTCCGGGGGCTGGGGAGTTGGGCAAAAGGGGGGTCGCCTCGGGAACGCTGGGAATCTCTGGGTGTTGTTGTTGGCCTGCTTCACCGACGGTGGCCGCACGCCGGCCAACTTCTTCAGCGTAGGGAGCCGCGGATGGGCCTGGTCCGTCCGCGCCCTCGGTGTCCTCGTCTATGGCCCTCAGTGGCAGCCCCGCACGACAGTGGTTGGCGTGGGTCCAAGTTGTCCTCTCCGCGACCTTAACGGCAGTGTCCGTCACCAGGAGGGCGAGGAATGGGCCGAGCCAGCGCTTGGACCGCCAATGCTTTCGTCTCGTTTCCTTCATCAGGACCCAGTCGCCTGCGCAGCCTGTGGCAGGGCGCTCCTGACCTGGGCAGAAATAGAGGACAAAAGTGCATTAATTTCCTTACAATAGGACAGCATGTCGTCATCACACAAAGAGGTGCTTGGCAGATCTCTGTTCGGGGGTCCCTCGCCCAAGTTGGGTGGTCTGGCACAGAGGATTTCGAATGGGACTCTCATGCGCATGTACATGAGGGCTAGCGGCAGAGCTTTGAGTGCCATTCTCTCGCTCGCACGCGCCTCCGGGCCAGGGGGCGTAACTGCAGTGTTTACGTATATCAATGCCCAGAAATTCACCCACTTCCTCAATGACTTTTGCTACAAAGTGACTGCCAGTGTCACTAGAGATTTTTTCTCGGGGCACAATTTTTGTGAGCAGAGCTTTCACCACCGCGTTGCTTGTGGCGTGTATGCCTGCAAATACTTCAGTCCATTTGGACCAGAGATCCGCCAGAACCAGACAGTATTACTTACCTTGGCATGGTGTGAGTTCAACAACAAAGTCCCTTTGGACATGTTGAAATGGGCGCAGGGGCGGAGGATGAGCAGCCTGTTGGATACTTTTGAGACTTACCTGGGTTGTGCGCGGGGCATATAGCGCATGTTTGGCTGAATCTCTGTGCAAATGCCGTAAACCCCTTTGTATACCAATTTTGTGTGGTTAAATCACACATCATCCCTCCTTTTGAGGCATGGTCTCGACCATGTGCTAAAATTGCAAACTGTCTGAAGAAATGCCGTGGTAGGCACGGTTTGCTGTCTGGTCCCAGCCACACACACCATGCCGTCGTTGAGCCCCATTCCCCTCTCACAGCAGCGTCTCTGCTGGAGTAGAAAATATCAACGTCTTGAGTGAGGTAGTGTGTGTGTGTGTGTGTAGAGGTGCGTATGCCGCTGCCTTGTCCGCGCGCCGATTCCCTGCAGAGATGGGATCAGTGGCATTAGTGTGGGCCTGGCATTTGCATACAGCGATCTCTAAGGGCAGCATTACAGCTTTCAGCAGACGTTCAACCTGTGTGGAATTAAGAATTGGTTTACCATCAGATTTCATAAAATTGCGGTGTTTCCACGGTGCTTCCCAGTCGTGCACCACAGAGAAACCATAGCGCGTATCACATAATATGTTGACAGTTTTGCGCGACCAGCTCAGCGGTTTGTGCTGAGTGGTAGTGGGGCAAACTACCAGAGTCTATAGTATCAAAATCAGAACACACAGCATAGCCGACTCGGTTCTTCCCAGTGTTGTCACGTGACGCCGCTCCGTCTGTATAAAAAAATCAAGTCAGGATTAGTCAGAGGCACCTCTTTCAGGTCTGGCCTGGGAGTGCATATCTGTTCTATTGTGGCGATACAGCAGTGTGCCTCCCCTTCCTCTGGCGTGAGCAGCAGCGAGGAGGGGTTCAGCTGTGTGCATCCCTTCACCGTAGTTCAAAGAGCACCGTGTTGTACCCCAGCCAACGAGCCGCAGAAAGGCGAGAGGCCCTCTGCTCTAACAGGATCAGGGAAACAGCATGGGGCACAAGCAAAGTTAGTTCAGTGTATCCCACAAGGTCACGTGATGCTAGGGCCGCTTTCTCAGCGGCAGCCACAGCCCGCAGGCAGCGAGGCAACCCTGCTGCCACGGGATCGAGTTTTGCTGAGAAGTAAGCAGTGGGTCTCAGTGGCCCTCCGTGAGACTGCAAAAGTACCGACTGTTCCGTTCATCTCCAGTTGCTTTCTCCCGGATCGTCCTCAATTCATATTGTGGGCTTTGGTGCCAAGGTAGAGGCTCATTTCCTCATGATCCATACTACTGTCATCCCTAAAGCAGGGGTAGTTTATCCCTCATCTGAAAAAGAAATATTAGAACACAAAAAAAAACACAAAAAAAAAATGCCCACTTTCGCTTGTCAATCTTTTTCCAATTGGGCAAAACATAACTGCATTGACAGACGGTGTTTGGCATCAGGGCGGAGGCTGTAGCAAAATACAGACTTAACAAAATGTATGTTTCTAATTTTATACTTCCCTAAATGTGAGTTTACAAACCAAGTTGTCCTTCAACCAACGACAGCTCACTGCGGTTGGACTGTGTCGCTGTCAGGACAAACAGCAGAGGCAGGAACTCCCAATATCTTCAGCGAGGTATTTCATCTCCGAGTACTTTCAGCAGAGTACTTTTCTCAGAGTACTCATCCCAGAGTACTCTCACTTTTACACCTGTTCAATAAAGCTTGTTATCTTTGAATCTCTAGTACTTACACCGTATGCTGCTGACAAAAAACAACCATTCCATGATCACATTAAAACATTACAGACACATTTGTTATTCCATGATTCCGTTCAGCATTCCTCATTTCACACATCACACTCATATCACAGTCATATCACAGGCCGATTTCCCACGTTAGTATTTTGGTCCAGTTTGTTAAGGTCAGCGTAGTGTACTTTGACATGACACACAAACATATAACATACACAAAACATATAACACACAAACATGTAACACACACAAACACATAGACAACACAGAAGGCCTGTAATTTTAACTTTGTTATATTTTCCATGTCCAATTACAATTGTCTCATGAGTTATTCCTATTGTTGCAACTTCCAGAGCCTGCAGAACATGCAAAGCTTTTTAAGAGATTTTTCCTAAAAAAAAGAAATCCATTTCCAACTTTAGTGTTTACCACGTGGTCTGTATTTCGGGCTTATCACAAATGGTGTCCCCTATATCTCTAATGAGCTCTTGTCACCTAAAAAAAATGTTTATTTTCCTTATTTTTTTTCTTTTTCAATAAAGCCAGGTCGGATTCATTAAAAAATGTAAATTAGTCTCAAACTTTAATACTTCACCTTTGTTTCACGATAAAATGTTTTTGTTGCTCATTAAGTAGCACAGATAGTGGTGCCTATCTCAATAAACGTACTCCGTTAGCCTATCTTCCCTACACTGCATGAATTTTCAAACTCCAAGTTATTGTCTGGGAACGACCGGAGAGAGCAGCTTAGGTCGTTCGCGTGGTTGACCTCCAAATTTTGTGCGGGCGTCACTATCCACTTGTTGTGGCTAATAACTTAGCAATCTCAGGGTTTGGTGTCAATTTCCAGTGGTAGTTAACTTTTGGGACCGGTGCCTCCTTTTATTTATCTATTTTTAATTGAGTCTGCACATAAGGTCTCGGCCTAGTAGATTAACCGGGGACAATGGGGAATATAGAAAAGAATGTTTAAGCTGGTTGCCCTGAGAATCAAAACACGTTAGCGGTGACGTAAATTGCTCTTTAGTCGTCTCTCCCGACGCTGCTAATGAGAATATGAAGCGGCCGCTCATTTTAGGGGAGACAGAAAGGCTGTCACTTTTAGCACAGAATTTGTTGCCCCGGAGTCAACTAGAAAAGTAACATTTTCGCCACAAATTGTTAGCGTATGTTACGGGAATTCAGCATGAATTATCTCTAAAAAGTGCCAATTGCAATTTGTTGTTGTTCAACTTACATGAGCGGTCGCTTTGGTGACGAATGTGAACCCAGGTTTGGTCAGTCGCTCGTGTTTCCTCCGTGCCCGCCTCTGCTGTCCTCTGGCCCCGTGTGAGCTTGAGAGGCCCTCTGCCTTTAACGCCTCCTCCGGTAACAGTCCTTCGACCCATGTCGAGCACACAGTCTTTCCGCCGGGCTGTGGAAGTTTTTCAAAGTCCGCAGGAGGCCCAGGTAGCCCAAAGCGTTAGCATGTGGTCCATGAGGGTTGGTGAATGACCCAAACGTGCCGGTACTTTTGGCTTCTTCTGTTTGCGGTGCGGGAACAACTTTCAAGCGGGTTTCCGCGGGTGCGTTTGGTATATCACGCTGCCCCCTCCGTGGAGAACAGTCACGGGATTTGGAGCAATTTCTCTCTGTGCTCCAAAGCAGTTGTCGGTGTCTCACATATTTGCTTCCCCCGTTTCTTCTTCTGTGGTTTCCTGAGCGTGTGTCTGTTTCCGCCTCTTCTTCTTCTGCGGTTTGGGCCCACTTCTCGCGGGGTCTCAGCTGGTGCGGGCGCCGCCTGTGGTTGGGGCGTGGGGCTGGTGCTTTGAGGCAGAGGACAGAGCGCGGAGGAAAGGCGCCGACAGACCTGGATAAGGAAGAGGAAGAGGGACAACAGTAGTCTGCTCATTTTTTAAAAACCCAACGCCTTGTTTGGGTGCACACTTATTGTTAGTAGGGGAACTACACTTTGTAACGTTAGCGGCGAAGGCCTGGAGGACGCCGGGGGAGTTACCGATGTGGTTGTTGGGCATCCTCTTGAGCAGACACGGCTCGTCTCGTCCTGACGGAGACTTGATGCTGGCCGACAGAACGCTCAGGTCCGTTTCATTGATGTCCAAAGAGAAGTCTGCAGCCGAGCCCAGCTTCACCTGCGAGCGCCGCTGACTGTCCTCTGGAAGCACACGGCGAACCAGCAAGAAAGAAAATATCTCATCATTTATATCAGATTCATGCGTCAAATCATTTAAGTCACGGGCAGAATACTAAATAGAAGAACTGGTCGGGAGCCGAAAGAATAGAAGGGATTTCCTTTTCTTTTTTTACATATGAAAGTATTTTGACATGATTTTTAAAACAAACATTTCAGTCTGTTTCCTCCGTAACAGTGGTCATTACTTGTCTCTATAAATACAGATGTTGAATGAAGTAACATCATGTGAGTTTTTCTATTATTTTCAGGTTGATTTTTCTGAAAACAAAATGTGTTTGTTTAGATTTAACCAAAACTGGACCAAAAATAAAGTTAAACACATTGTTTTATATTAAATTAATTCACTTCTAACAATGGAAAAAGCTAAACCAGTGGGGGGAAGGCTCGCCTGTCAATCTAGGAGGTTCCAAATTCATCCAATGAGAAAGAAAGGCGGGTCTAGCTGGAGCTTTCATCAACAAATTCTCACCCCATTTTTACACTATCAACATTTTACTATAGAAACAGTTAAATCATTTCACAAAAACTAAAGCTACGAATTCACTGACAATGCGCTGGACAAAGCAAGGATTAAAGGAGACAGATGGAGCAGAGAGAGATGTCTGACCGATGATGCGGGCGGTGAAGGGGCTGCCCGCGATGTGCTGCTCATTGTACTTGACCAGGATGTTGTAGTCTCCGGGCAGAGTGGGCAGGTAGCTCACACTGCAGGTCCCATCTTTGTTATCCACACAGCTGATCTCTGCTTTGGACGGGCCCTCGATCGCCAAGTCCAGGCCTCCTACAGAGAGAGAGAGAGAGAGAGAGAGAGAGAGAGAGAGAGAGAGAGAGAGAGAGATGCAGAGAGAGAGAGAGAGAGAGAGATGCAGAGAGAGAGACAGAGAGAGAGAGATGCAGAGAGAGAGAGATGCAGAGAGAGAGACAGAGAGAGAGATGCAGAGAGAGAGACAGAGAGAGAGAGAGAGAGAGATGCAGAGAGAGAGAGATGCAGAGAGAGAGAGAGAGAGAGAGAGAGACAGAGAGAGAAAGAGAGAGAGAGACAGAGAGAGAGAGATGCAGAGAGAGACAGAGAGAGATGCAGAGAGAGAGACAGAGAGAGAGAGATGCAGAGAGAGAGAGAGAGAGAGAGACACAGAGAGAGAGAGAGAGAGAGAGAGAGACACAGAGAGAGAGAGACAGAGAGAGACAGAGAAAGACAGAGACAGAGAAAGAGAGAGAAAGACAGAGAGAGATGCAGAGAGGAGACAGAGAGAGAGAGACAGACAGAGAGAGAGAGACAGAGACAGCGAGACAGACAGACAGACAGACAGAGAGACACAGAGAGAGGGAGAGACACAGAGAGAGACAGAGAGAGAGACAGAGAGAGAGAGACAGAGAGAGAGACAGAGCGAGAGATAGAGAGAGAGGGAGTGAGAGAGAGAGAGAGAGAGACAGAAAGAGAGAGAGACAGAGCGAGACAGAGCGAGAGATAGAGAGAGAGGGAGTGAGAGAGAGAGAGAAAGAGAGACAGAGAGAGAGAGAGACAGAGCGAGACAGAGCGAGAGATAGAGAGAGAGGGAGTGAGAGAGAGAGAGAGACAGAGAGAGAGAGTGAGAGAGACAGAAAGAGAGAGACAGAGAGAGAGGGAGAGACAGAGAGAGAGAGAGAGAGTAAGAGACAGAGACAGAGAGAGACACAGATAAAGAGGGGGAGACAGAGCGAGAGACAGAGAGACACAGACAGAGAGAGCGACAGAGACAGAGAGACAGACACAGAAAGAGAGAGCGACAGAGAAAGAGGGGGAGGCAGAGCGAGAGAGAGACAGAGAGAGACAGAGACACAGAGAGAGACAGACACAGAGAGAGAAACAGAGAAAGAGAGAGAAAGAGAGCGATAGAGAGAGCGACAGAGAAAGAGAGAGACAGAGAGAGAGACACACAGGCTTATCAATAATGTATATCAAATACTACTGCTGCTAATATATTATTGTTCAGTTTTTGTTCCTTCACAGTAATATTTCTGGATCTTCCTTAAACTGATAATAAGTAATAGTAGTAATAAGTACTTCTTTTTACTTCCTGTATTTCCACGTGAGCAGAAATGTCTGGTTGTGATGTCTGTTGTACATGTTTTGCCAGTGTTACCTTCAGACGCGTCCTCGGTGTAGACGGTGAAGTTGGCCGGTTTGTTGGCCACGCCGTAGCTCAGTCCGGGGCCGTAGGCTGTGACCGAGGGAGAGCTGCCGTGGTTCACGTAGAACTGAAGAGGGGACTCTGCACCAAAACATGGACAAGGTTAAGGATGTCCCTCAGTGACCGGAGACGCCAAAAGTTTCCCATCGCAAAATCAGTCATTATTCAACTACTCGTCTGGTGCAGAAGAGACAAGATATTTACAGATGTCGTTTTGCTGGAGGAAATATCCCACCTAGACATTAAGATCAAGATCAAGATTAAGATATGCTATATTTGGCCAACAGTGGGGAAATTTCAGTGTTGCATAGTTACAAGTTACAGACCAGTAGGAATGAGGAGCACACAACACAAGATCAATGAACTCTATACTAAATAACATTAAATAAAAACATGTAAGTGGCATTTCTGGTTCGTTTCATAATAAAAAGAAAGTTATTTTTTAAATTTTGAAGATGTGGAGATAAGACCCGCCCCCAAAGGTTCCCGATTGGATGAAATTATTCAAATCCTCGATAATCAGAGAAGGTCCCAACCATTGGTCTAACTCTTCTCCCTAACAGCCATTATAACTGGTTATGGTTATTCCAACGGCCCTCCCCCTTGGCATAACCATACATATATAGCTTTAAATATATTGTTATTGACAATTACTTAAATGAAATGATACTTCAGGGTCATATAGTCAAAAATATGTATTATAAAAACTAAATACTACTGAAGTTGCAGATTTTACTTGTGATGTATATTGACTCTATTTTTTGTCGAAAACAGACAAAAGATGGAGGCCTGAAATGTCATAAGAGATAGAGGACTACTAAAACCATCCATCCATCTTTTTTCTTCCGCTTCATCCGTTGCCGGGAGTCTGAGCAGAGAAGGCCAGACTTCCCCCTCCACTACTAAAACCATTCAGAGAAATATGTAATGAAACAATTGTGGAAAGTTCATGGAGAGATTCTGTTCTGTGGACCACTCCATCGGTTACTAGTTCAATCCAATTCAATCGAGAAATGTCTTTTTTAATAGTCAAGCAGTATGTTGCACCCTGATTGTGATGAAGTCATACTGTGCGGAAGATTCCAGATAAAGAACTTGACTTCAATGCGACAGACCCGAGACCAGAAATGACACTAGCGTCCTGTCATTAGAGCGTGTTTGAGCAGCCTCAGCAGCCTCAGCACCTGGTATGTGTGTCCCGTTGTACTTGATGTGCATCTCGTGGAGCCCTGCCTCAGTCGGGGAGTACTGCACCGTGACCGTCCCGTCCAAGTTGTCAGAGATCAGGGGCTGGGCGCTTTTACCGGACGGCATCAGCACCTCTCCTGCACACAGAGACCACAGAGGATTATATTCAAGTCCACAAATATTAAATGAATTTATTTTAAATAGGCGCGGAGTACAGCAGATACAGTATATGCCAGATAATCACAAAACTACTTTCCACTCTGTGTGTCTATTGTACAGTAAAATACATAAATAAAAAGGAAAATGTATATACACATTTGTAAACTTTGTCTTTTCATGCGCTGGGAGACACTGGGATACACTGGGGTTCCACTGGGGATACACTGGGGATACACTGGGACACACTGGGGATACACTGGGGATACACTGGGATACACTGAGATACACTGGGATACACTGGGGATACACTGGGGATACACTGGGGATACACTGGGGATACACTGGGGATACACTGGGATACACTGGGAGACACTGGGAGACACTGGGAGACACTGGGGACACACTGGGGATACACTGGGGATACACTGGGGATACACTGGGGATACACTGGGAGACACTGGGAGACACTGGGGACACACTGGGGACACACTGGGGATACACTGGGGATACACTGGGAGACACTGGGAGACACTGGGAGACACTGGGAGACACTGGGAGACACTGGGACACACTGGGACACACTGGGACACACTGGGACACACTGGGACACTGGGGAGACACTGAGATACACTGGGATACACTGGGATACACTGGGGATACACTGGGGATTCACTGGGAATACACTGGGGATACACTGGGGATACACTGGGGATACACTGGGGATACACTGGGGATTCACTGGGAATACACTGGGGATACACTGGGGATTCACTGGGAATACACTGGGGATACACTGGGGATACACTGGGGATACACTGGGGATACACTGGGGATTCACTGGGGATACACTGGGGATACACTGGGGATTCACTGGGGAGACACTGGGGATACACTGGGGATTCACTGGGGAGACACTGGGGATACACTGGGGATACACTGGGACACACTGGGATACACTGGGATACACTGGGGATACACTGGGGATACACTGGGGATACACTGGGGATACACTGGGATACACTGGGAGACACTGGGATACACTGGGGATTCACTGGGGATACACTGGGGATACACTGGGGATACACTGGGGATACACTGGGACACACTGGACGACCTCTGCATTTCTAACGATCCTGCAAGAGAAGCCATCTTTGTTTATTCTTTTATTTGATCCGGACACAACAGTTACATTAGACCAGATGAACAGAGTTGAGCTGAGAGTTTATTTTCCTTTAGTGTTAGACAAAGACCTATTGCTCATGAGCTTCCAGCTGAAGTCACCGACCTGTGATCTCTCCCATTTTGAAGGAGAAGGGGATGACCATGTCGAACGGCCTGAACCCGCTGCCGTTCACGCTGCTCCTCGTCGGGTCGAAGCCGTCTGACGTCACCTACAGGAGACGAGAGAGAGACAGAGAGAGACGCAGAGATAGAGGCAGAGAGACAGAAAGAGAGAGAGAGAGAGAGAGAGAAAGAGAGGGTGGGGGAGAGAGAGACAGAAACAGAGAGAGAAAGAGAGACAGAGAGAGAGAGAAACAGAGAGAGACAGACAGTGACAGAGAGAGATACAGAGAGACAGAGACACAGAGAGACACAGAAAGAGAGAGAGACAGAGAGAGACACAGATAGAGAGACAGACAGTGACAGAGAGAGATACAGAGAGACACACAGAGATACAGAGAGAGAGACAGAGACACAGAGAGACACAGAAAGAGACAGATAGAGACAGACAGAGAGAGAGAGAGACAGATGGAGAGATATATAGACAGAGAGAGCGAGGTAGAGAGAGAGACAGAGAAAGAGAGAGAGACAGACAGACAGAGACACAGAGAGAGAGACAGAGAGAGAGAGAGACGGAGGGAGACAGAGAAAGACAGACAGAGAGAGAGAGACGGAGGGAGACAGAAAAAGACAGACAGAGAGAGAGAGACGGAGGGAGACAGAAAAAGACAGACAGAGAGAGAGAGAGACGGAGGGAGACAGAAAAAGACAGACAGAGAGACACAGACAGAGAGACAGACAGAGAGAGAGAGAGAGAGACAGACAGAGAGAGAGAGAGAGAGAGAGAGAGACACAGACAGAGAGAGAGAGTGAGGGAGAGAGAGGTTTGGGGGAAGAATGGGAAGAAGAGCGATTAAAACAGTGACAGATTTGGACTGCATTTTGTTCAGTAGTTTGTTAGAATCATGCTGCTGCCTCGAGCCGCCTGAAGGAAAGAAAACCCAGAAAGAGTCAAGAGAAGTTCAGAGTGAAAGGACCGAGCTGCATTTGTTCGATACAAGCATTTGGATTTAATCGTAGGTTCAATAAGACGCACAAGAACTCAAAGACATCAAAAAGAACAATTTAGGACGATTAAGGTACTAGCTTAGCCTGGATAGAACTAGGGCTAAACCAGATACTAAAACATGTATAGAGTAGAACAGAGTGGGGCAGGCCTGGTGCAAACGGGGCTATAATCTATTGTCGCTGAAGAGCTTTAAGTTTCATAGTCTTCCTAGTCATTTTGTTTACACTTTTATAAGGAAATTGATAGTTCGAACAATGGTTACTAAAGTGGGGTGCAGGAACCACAAAGGCCTTTCAGCGAGGCCCCTACAAATATTTAGTTGAATGACCACATACCACTTTTTTTTATCAAATCATCAAACAGTGCTGCAGTAATTTTAGTTTATATTTTAATAAGAAACTACATCTTACATGCACATTTGTTCTATGGGCTCCTGAGGAATACAGGGACCTCAGTACAGACGGCAGAGGGCAATGGCTGCTTCAGAACAGAGCCAATATATTTTACATGTTGTGTTTATTTACTCAAAAGAGATTGAAATCAAAAGTGCGGCGTTAAAGTAAAGAGACACATAGAGCAGGAAAGAAAGAATGCAAAAATCCTTGTTAAAATCAGCCGATGACAAACAGGAAGTAGCGATATTTGCTGCGATCCCGTGAGCTGCAGAAGCGATGACGTCATGACGAGAAGCGGGAAAAAAGGCGGCAGCGTTCACCGTGCGCAGGTTTGAGTCCAGCACTAATCATTTCACAGTCCCCTCGGACCGGAAGGCTCTGGGTTCAATCTCCATCAAGGCATTTGTGAGTGAAATCTGATTTTTTTTTGTCATTTGCTCTTGTCCCAACTCATCTACTTTTCTATAATGTAATAAGTCATCAAGGTTGTATAGATTTCTAACATGTCTAGAACCTCTTGTGTAAATGTATTTGTGTAGATGCAACAATACAACCACTGGTCGAGAAATTGCACATTTGACCGATGCTACTTCCTGCTCATTTAACAGGCGAGAAAAATTACACTTAAAGCTGAGGTTCCTAACTTTTAAACCACAAACAAAGCAACTATGTCAAAACTCTGCAAAAGGTTTCCTCCAGGTGCTCCGGTTTGCCCTACCACTAAAAACATACAATAATCATTTATGCATTAAAAAATTAAAAAGCATTAAATAAATAAAAAAATAAAAAATAATAATTACTTAAAGTGCATGTATCTTTTTGGCTAAAAAACTTTTTTTTTTTTTTAAAGAGAGGGACACACTTGTTCAGCCAATCAGCTCTCAGCCTAAAGCATTAAACAGGGACGCACAGGGCTCTTTGTTACTGGTTTCTAATAAGATAAAGACAGCGTGGTTTGTAACATTTTACTTTTAGGTCAAACAAAATAGTACTTATTAAACTAAAATGTTAGGTACCCCAGCTTTAAGATTGGATTACAGGTTGAAATGTTTGTAAAGAGGACACAGTCTTATGCTCTATAGATGTATTTGAGTGACTTGTTTCCCAAAGTATCATGCATGTGCAGTATATGAATGTCAGAGTATATGTTATCATGAGCTCTGTAGATGTACCCAGGGCTGAAAGCCGACTCCAGGGGGCGGAGCCTGAGCAGAGGTCTGCTGGCTCATCACAGGAACCACCTCAGTCGCCTGAACATACAACACACACGTTAAAATCATCTGACTGTCTATGCTTTTTTAATTTTAGACTCAAACCTTTACACCTGAAGCTCTCCTGAACCTCAGCTCGCTAATATAACTCAACTCCTCTTTTGTGCACGTTTAAACAATCTATCCTTGTCATATAACTATAGTTTTTATCTACGTGCAAAATCTACTTATGGCTCATTTCCCTCTCTTTGCTTACCAAATCCCAAGAGGGTCCATGGACAGTGGTGATAATCCAGGATATTTAACAACATTTATGGACATTATTATCATTTATGGACATTGGTAATCCACCCTTTATGGACAAATACTTTTTCTTTTCTGGGATTTAACTTTTTGATTCTCTGATCTGTTTTGGGGAATCGACAAGTCCTTCAAGATAACTGCAGTTGTGATTTAGGGCTATAAAAACAATACATGTAATTGAATTGAATATTCCGGCTATGCCACAATTGTTCAGTTATGATCTTACTCTACTACCGTCTCCACGCAGTCTCCAGTCTCCACACAGTCACCACACAGTCTCCACACAGTCTCCACACGGTCACCACACGGTCACCACTCGGTCTCCACACAGTCTCTCCACAGTCTCTCCACAGTCTCTCCACAGTCTCCACGCAGTCTCCACGCAGTCTCCACGCAGTCTCCACACAGTCTCTCCACAGTCTCCACACAGTCTCCACACAGTCTCCACACAGTCTCCACACAGTCTCCACACAGTCTCCACACAGTCTCTCCACAGTCTCTCCACAGTCTCCGCACAGTCTCTCCACAGTCTCTCCACAGTCTCCACACAGTCTCCACACAGTCTCTCCACAGTCGCTCCACAGTCTCCACACAGTCTCCACAGTCTCCACACAGTCTCCACACAGTCTCCACACAGTCTCCACACAGTCTCCACACAGTCTCCACACAGTCTCTCCAGTCTCCCCACAGTCTCCACACAGTCTCCACACAGTCTCCACAGTCTCTCCGCAGTCTCCACGCAGTCTCCACGCAGTCTCCACACAGTCTCTCCACAGTCTCCACACGGTCACCACACGGTCACCACTCGGTCTCCACACAGTCTCTCCACAGTCTCTCCACAGTCTCTCCACAGTCTCTCCACAGTCTCTCCACAGTCTCCACGCAGTCTCCACGCAGTCTCCACACAGTCTCTCCACAGTCTCCACACAGTCTCCACACAGTCTCTCCACAGTCTCCACACAGTCTCCACACAGTCTCCACACAGTCTCCACAGTCTCCACACAGTCTCCACACAGTCTCTCCACAGTCTCTCCACAGTCTCTCCACAGTCTCCGCACAGTCTCTCCACAGTCTCTCCACAGTCTCCACACAGTCTCTCCACAGTCTCCACACAGTCTCCACACAGTCTCCACACAGTCTCCACACAGTCTCCACACAGTCTCTCCACAGTCTCCACACAGTCTCCACACAGTCTCTCCACAGTCTCTCCACAGTCTCCACACAGTCTCCACACAGTCTCCACACAGTCTCTCCACAGTCTCCCCACAGTCTCCACACAGTCTCCACACAGTCTCTCCACAGTCTCCACAGGGTCTCCACACGGTCTCCACACGGTCACCACTCGGTCTCTCCACAGTCTCTCCACAGTCTCTCCACAGTCTCTCCACAGTCTCTCCACAGTCTCCACGCAGTCTCCACAGTCTCTCCACGCAGTCTCCACACAGTCTCTCCACAGTCTCCACACAGTCTCCACACAGTCTCCACACAGTCTCTCCACAGTCTCTCCAGTCTCTCCACAGTCTCTCCACAGTCTCCACACAGTCTCCACACAGTCTCTCCACAGTCTCCACACAGTCTCCACACAGTCTCCACACAGTCTCTCCACAGTCGCTCCACAGTCTCCACACAGTCTCCACACAGTCTCCACACAGTCTCCACACAGTCTCCCCACAGTCTCCACACAGTCTCCACACAGTCTCCACACAGTCTCCACACAGTCTCCACACAGTCTCTCCACAGTCTCCACACAGTCTCCACACAGTCTCCGCACAGTCTCCACACAGTCTCCGCACAGTCTCCACAGTCTCCCCACAGTCTCTCCACAGTCTCTCCACAGTCTCCACAGTCTCCACACAGTCTCCCCACAGTCTCTCCACAGTCTCTCCACAGTCTCCACTAGAGGTGCAACGGTTCATCACTGATCCGTGATCCGTTCGGTTCAACGTCTTCGGTTCGGTACAGACGTGATCCGCGGTTTGATTTATGAAAAAAAAGTTGTGCGCATGTTGTTCAGTCCACACACAGCGCGGTCATTGCGAGCGGAGGAACGGAGATGCTTGAAAGCCCCGCGTCATTTAAATCCCCAGTATGAGAGCATTTTGGCTTCACTGTAACTACACTGATAATTAATATTCGACAAAACTGTCACGATGTGTAAGCACTGTGGCACAAGAAAGACATGAGTGAAAAAAGCGTCTCAACGACCGCTTATTGTCGCGGCATTTAAGCAGCTCCTTTACGCACAGTCAGACCGGGCTAAAGTCAACTCTCCCGCGCATCACAGCTGCGCTCACGACTGACGCTCGGACGTCCCGCGGAACCTATAATAGATCCATGAGCGGAACCGCTCACTTCATCACCGCAGACTGGGAGATGAAAAGTCTGGCGCTGCAGACACGCCCCCTCTACGACAGTCACACAGTCACACTGTCACACAGCGCAGGTACTGACACAAGCAGCGGAGGAATGGAAGACAAAGGCCCAGTACTAATATCCCAGTCACAACTGATAATGCCAAAAATTAAATAAATGCAGTGAATGAGGCTGGGCCCAGAATGGAGCGCCTCCTCGGGAGAATCAGGAAGGTGGTGTAATATATGAGAGTAAATATCCTCATAAAGTGCCTTCTTATGTTGCACTTTGTGTTGTTTTTCATTAATTATGTTAAATAGACATAATTGGATGGATGGAATATTCCATCCATCCATCCATCCATTTCCTTCCCCTTAATTCATTTCTAGGTCAGGGGGGGCAGTCAGAGCAGGTGCCGAGTCCACATGAGCTGTGTTTATTAAAAAGACAACACTTTTTTTTGAAAAATTAACCGAAAAATGAACCGAACCGTGGCCTCTGAACCGAGGTACGAACCGAACCGTGATTTTTTCAAACCGTTGCACCCCTAGTCTCCACACAGTCTCCACACAGTCTCTCCACAGTCTCCACACAGTCTCCGCACAGTCTCTCCAGTCTCTCCACAGTCTCTCCACAGTCTCCACACAGTCTCCACACAGTCTCCACACAGTCTCTCCACAGTCTCTCCACAGTCTCCACACAGTCTCCACACAGTCTCCACACAGTCTCCACACCGTATGTCGGACCCACCATGACTTTGAAGGGGCTGTGTGGGATGTTCTCTCCTCCGAAGCGAACGTAGATGACGTAGTTCCCGGGGGCAGGTGCGGTGTAGAAGATGTCGAACGTCCCGTCTGGGTTTTCCACGACTTCCGCCTCCACCTCGGTGCCGTCGGGCTGCACCACCACACAGCTCACCTTCCCCTTACCCGCTCCGGCCGCGTTCACAGACAGACCCAGCTCCTCCCCGATGGCCACCGTGGGGCCCACACCGGAGCCTGGAACAGAGGAGAGAGAGTTAGAGCCGTCACATTCTGTACAGCACACTCCACACTCAGTCCCTGAATAGGCAAGGCAGGTTTATCTGTATAGCACACTTCATACATACTATAAGGCTGTATTGGTCTACTGGTTGTATTGGTCTTGACAGCAGAAAACCTCTTTATCTTTATACAGGGAGCACTCATGAGAATTCCAGACTGTCCTTTTTTCGTAGATGAATTTGGCTTTATCTTAGATTGCAAAAAATAGTGTTAATGAATATAGGAAAAAGCAGGGGGCCCAAAACGGATCCTTGTGGCACCCCTTTATTTACACTTAAAACCAGCAGTGACGACTACTTGGGATGTGTTTGACAGATCATTTTAGACACATTTGAATGAATTATTATCAAAACCAGTGTCATTTAGCCTGTTTTGGTAATTAGTTTTCTAACTGACAGAGGTTGTTTTCAGTTAGATGTACACCACGTCTAAAACAAGACAAATCTGGGTGTTCACAAGGGATGTAATTAACTTAATATAAGGAAAAAAACAATAATAGCTTAAATTATTATAAAATTCATTGGTGTCAGTTTGAAAAGCAATGGGTTGACAAATGCATATCGCAATCTTTGTTTTGCGTTTCCATGGGGTAGATTCAGCGATTGTCTCTTTTGTCAGAACTTTCGGTCCAGACAGTTTGGTCTTGTGGAAGAATAGTGGCGTCATTAGCACTTTGCTCGAGGTGTGTTCAGGCTCCACACCTGTGACGGTGCAGCGGCTGGCGTCTCCGGAGGCTGTGGCCCTGACGCGGTGAGGGGAGCCGGGGACGGCGTCTCCTCCGTAGCTCACAGAGATGGTGTAGCGTCCCGCCCGGTCGGGGGTGTACGAAACCCGGTATGTGCCGTCGCCGTTGTCATGGATACTGGCCGGCTTCGATCGCCCATCTTGATCCTGGAAAGAGAAGAGGAGGAGGTTAAATATTACAAAAGGCCAAAACAAAAAGACAAAAGCATATTTCTTTGGATCCGTTCTAATAACATCATCATACTAATAACATCATACATTTTTTTTTTATGTTAATCAGAATGAATCATGAATATTCAATGATTATTCCACAAAATCAATAAAAACACAGATTCAACTCTTTATTGATATTGCACTGACCTTGATGAGCACAGTGAGCTGCCCCTCGCCAGCGTCCCGGGCGTCGATGTCGAACTCCACGGGGAAACTAGCCGGGATCCCGCTGGTCAAACCTGGACCGCTCACTCGCACTTTACTGGCATCGTGGGTCGGCAAAACACGCACCTTAAACGGGCTGGAAACAAAGACAATCTAGACATTAAACAAGCCTTGGAGTGAGTGGAAGCACAATTGTGTTATGTATTAGTTATGTACATTTTGGTCCTTAAACATTAAGGTTTTTTTTCTTTCACATTTACGTTTTAGAGAGTGAAAAAAGAAGACAAGGTGTGGATAAACATTTATAATGGAATATGAGCAGGTCAGAGGACGAGAAGCACAAATTGGAAAATACATTTATTTCTAACATTGCTCGATCCACGGCAGCATTTCTGAAGACCATAATTCGACTGGAAAAATTACCCCGAATCAATTGGGGATAGTGTCTCAGGAAACTGTCTTGGCTGGTGTTTTTCAACCAGTGTCCAACATTGTTTGGTGTGCCGAAATTGGTCAAAACAAAAAAGATGTGCTTGTTTGATGATCTATTACGTACTCTTTGATGAGACTGACTTTGCTTTGGTAATAAAGGGTGCAGAGTTTCATGTTTGTATTTGTTAGGGCCACGGCTGAAAAAGGTTGGGGAACACTAGTCTCGGCTATAGTCATAATAGCAGCTTTAAAACAGAACTTTAAGACATTTGATACAAGTCGACGCATTTGTCATTTGTGTCCGTCGAGTCTATGCAATTGGCGAGGTGTGAGCTAGAAATGACTCGAGGTATGTTTTTGATGAGGGAACATGGTTAAAAATCATGATTGTTCTCAAAGAAAGTGAAATGAGGTATTTTTGCTGGATTTGGCCGCAGCCACAGTACCGCACACCGACCTGCGGGGGGCGTCCTGCTGGTTGTACTTGACGCCCACAGAGTAGAGGCCTTCGACGGAGGGTATGTAGGAGACTGTGTGGGTGCCGTCCTGGTTCTCTGCCACCTCCACGTCCTCCGTCACTCCTTTAGGCCCCTTCACACTCACAGCCAGCTTGGCCTCTCCCGCCCTCCTGGAGTCCACAGTGAAGGATTGTGGGATACCGGCCCGCACACCTGAGCCCACGCCCGGCCCGGCCACCTTCACTTTACTCGGGTCGACCACGTCCTTCACCGGGACTTTGAATGGACTTCCTACAAAAACATTTTCCATGTTTCACTCCATCCATAAATATCACTAATTAAATATACACTTAACACACTAATGACACACAGATACAGGTGAACTCAGGCAACTAGAATATCATACAAAAGTTCAGTTTATTTCAGAAAATCATAAATAATTTCTGCAAAACTCAGGACATGCTAAGTGACCTATGCCTAGCCTGTGTTATAATATTGATAATTATTGCTTATATTCATGTTATATATTGAGTAGGCCATATACTAGCTTCACATTGTCACTTTTTGAATTTTAATATTATGAAGTTTTCGCTGTACATTGTTATGTCCCTATGATAGAAAAAAAAAATGCAATCAGACCTTAAGCCCATATGACAGGTTAGACTATTTCTACGTTTGGTTTAAAACGTACTTCCTGAATGCACACAGACAGCAGAAAGTACACACACCAAGTAAACAAAAGCCAAAGCTTGTATAATTTACACAATAGTTAAGGTAACGAATAGTAGACAACCTGACTGTTTCTTTTCTTGAATGAATGTTTAAACTGTCAGGTAGTAGTTCAAAAAGATGACATCTGACCCGGGATGTGCTCTCCTCCGTAGGTGATGTTCACGTCATAGACTCCTGGACTGAAGGGGGTGTAGTCCACGCTGCAGCTGCCATCTTTGTTGTCTTTGCAGGACATTTTGGACTCAGACGGACCCTCCACTGTGATGCCCAGACCCCCGATACCTGCGCCTCTGTGGGACGAAAGTTTCAAGCATACTAAATATTCAGCAAAAATACTTTCCATGGAAGTTTTTCCACACTTCCTGATAATTAGTAACCTATTTGTGCTACGTCAGGTGGGTATTAATAATGCAATAAGTCAAAATATTAGGACGAAAATTTGATTTAATTAAACTTATTAACATACACATCGATACAATTCTATATCAACTTGTCTGCTCAACATATTTGATGATGTTTTTCTGCCACTGATGCTTTCCCCTACATCTCGCTCTCTGGTCTCGCTCTCTGGTCTCGCTCTCTGGTCTCGCTCTCTGGTCTCGCTCTCTGGTCTCGCTCTCTGGTCTCGCTCTCTGGTCTCGCTCTCTGGTCTCGCTCTCTGGTCTCGCTCTCTGGTCTCGCTCTCTGGTCTCGCTCTCTGGTCTCGCTCTCTGGTCTCGCTCTCTGGTCTCGCTCTCTGGTCTCGCTCTCTGGTCTCGCTCTCTGGTCTCGCTCTCTGGTCTCGCTCTCTGGTCTCGCTCTCTGGTCTCGCTCTCTGGTCTCGCTCTCTGGTCTCGCTCTCTGGTCTCGCTCTCTGGTCTCGCTCTCTGGTCTCGCTCTCTGGTCTCTCTCTCACTGGTCTCTCTCTCACTGGTCTCTCTCTCACTGGTCTCTCTCTCACTGGTCTCTCTCTCTCACTGGTCTCTCTCTCTCACTGGTCTCTCTCTCACTGGTCTCTCTCTCACTGTCTCTCTCTCACTGGTCTCTCTCTCACTGGTCTCTCTCTCACTGGTCTCTCTCTCACTGGTCTCTCTCTCACTGGTCTCTCTCTCACTGGTCTCTCTCTCACTGGTCTCTCTCTCACTGGTCTCTCTCTCACTGGTCTCTCTCTCACTGGTCTCTCTCTCACTGGTCTCTCTCTCACTGGTCTCTCTCTCACTGGTCTCTCTCTCACTGGTCTCTCTCTCACTGGTCTCTCTCTCACTGGTCTCTCTCTCACTGGTCTCTCTCTCACTGGTCTCTCTCTCACTGGTCTCTCTCTCACTGGTCTCTCTCTCACTGGTCTCTCTCTCACTGGTCTCTCTCTCACTGGTCTCTCTCTCACTGGTCTCTCTCTCACTGGTCTCTCTCTCACTGGTCTCTCTCTCACTGGTCTCTCTCTCACTGGTCTCTCTCTCACTGGTCTCTCTCTCACTGGTCTCTCTCTCACTGGTCTCTCACTCACTGGTCTCTCACTCACTGGTCTCTCACTCACTGGTCTCTCTCTCACTGGTCTCTCTCTCACTGGTCTCTCTCTCACTGGTCTCTCTCTCACTGGTCTCTCTCTCACTGGTCTCTCTCTCACTGGTCTCTCTCTCACTGGTCTCTCTCTCACTGGTCTCTCACTCACTGGTCTCTCACTCACTGGTCTCTCTCTCTCTGGTCTCTCTCTCTCTGATCTCTCTCTCACTGGTCTCTCTCTCACTGGTCTCTCTCTCACTGGTCTCTTTCTCACTGGTCTCTCTCTCACTGGTCTCTCTCTCACTGGTCTCTCTCTCACTGGTCTCTCTCTCACTGGTCTCTCTCTTTTTTTTTTTTTTTTTTTTTTTTTTTAATACAACTTTTATGTAGAAACGTCGTGCCCGAAGGCATTGACGGCTGGTTTCTTAAATATTAAAACATAGTATTAAAAATCAGCCTATGCTTGATGTCCCATAATTTGTTTTTAAAATTGTCCAAGGTGGGACAGTCCCACAGCTCGGGAGATTTGTTTAATAGCTTTGTTAAAAATAGGAATGGAGATCGGTCCAATGCTCGACTCGTGGGGAATTCTATGCCCGGGTGGACGAGTGTTTTATTCCGTGTTTGAATAGGAGTTCGTTTAATAATGGGACAAAAGGACTGGAGAGCCTTTGGGAGTAAACCACGTAACAGCTTGTAGCCATAGCACATCACTGCAAAGTTTCTTCTATGTTTTAAAGGAGCCAGTTTGAGTTCTTCATAATCCCCATCTGTAACTGGTTGTGTATAGGGGTAGTGTAGTATGATCCTGATGGCTCGGCGTTGGAGTTTTTCCAAGCGGTTAGTTTGTGTGACATTTAGCGCAGCCCAGACAGGTGACGCATACTCAAAGTGAGGTAGAATATAACATTTGTACAGTCTTGTTAGTAGATTTTTGTCTTTAACAGAGAGGGAGAGTCTACGAAGGAGGAACATTTGAGATGCCACCTTTCGGCAGGCGTGGTCGACTTGTTTGTCAAATTTTAGATCGTTTGTAATCCAGAATCCTAAATGGAGATGTTCTTTAACCATTTCGACTGGACAGCCCATGAATTTAATGTCAATGTTTGTATTTTGCATTTTGGAGAGAAACATTGCTTTGGTTTTGCTTGAGTTAAATTGCATACCCCAAGTTTCAGCCCATTGGGCAATGTCCAGAAGATCTTGATTTACTTTCTCTACCATTAGAGGGAGTTGTTGGGATGCCACAAACAGTGTGGTGTCATCAGCATAAAGCAGACAATCGTTGACAGTGCCTGGCTTGCTTGATGACTGAATTTCACCAGGAATCAGATGTGAAAGATCATTCATGAACAGTACAAACAGAGTGGGAGCCAGAGTACTTCCTTGAGGCACACCTGAGTAGACAGGACGTATTTCTGAAAGAATGTTGTTAATTTTAACAGCCTGCTGTCTATCAGTGAGATAATTTACAATCCAACGGAAGAGTTTACCACGGATTCCATATGATGGAAGCTTTTGAATTATTGCAGGATGTGGTACGGTATCAAATGCAGCAGCTAGGTCTAGAAAAACAGCACAGCATGAGAATCTTTTCTCCATTAGTGATAGACATTTATGGTAGAGATAGCTTAACTGGTCAGTGGTGGAATGACGTGGTAGAAATCCAAATTGCGAAGCTGATATTAAGTTGTTCGTACACAGAAACTCCAACAGTTTTTTGTTGATAACCGACTCTAGTATTTTCCCCACGTTTGATGTTATTGAAATTGGCCGATAATTTTGCGGATCTGACCTGTTACCCTTGTTTTTGTAGATTGGTGTCACGTGTGCCGTTTTCCAGGCTTGGGGCATAACTCCAGTATCAATAGACTTTTTGAATAGAATGCACAGAGGAGGTGCTAAAGCTTCATGGCAGTTTCTCAAAACCAAGTTGGTTATTCCATCTGGACCAGTGGATTTTGAGGGATCAAGCGTGGCTAATGCCTTAGAAATGTCCATTTGATTGAGATGGACGTTGGAAAGAATTTTGGATGTATTCAGTGGTAGAGGTGGGAACGGGATGTTAGAGTTGGGCTTCTGTCCTTTAGACGTAAAATAGTTGTTAAGGAATGTTGCTTTTGTAAGGTTACAAGATGCAGAAGCATCTGGTGTATTTATTATGGGGATGGCATCAGTTACTTTGGTACCAACATAAAGCTTTCTTGCCAGTTTGTGCCATTTTTTGGAAGTATTAGTCGAGTGCGCCATTTGTTCCATTGTTTTGTTAACATCCTTCTTTTTTGTTTCTTGCAGATATACTTTAAGTTTATTGCGAGCGGTCCGATATAAGTTGTATGCCTGTGATGTTTTAGAAAGTGTATAGTCTTTCCAAGCTCTTGCTTTCTTTGATTTGAGTTCAGCATAGGTCTTATCGTGGCATAGTTTGTCTTCCGTGAGAGTATGAGGTAATGGTATTTTCTTAGCGCATACGTTCAAGAGCGAGAAATAGGTTGTAATGAAACTTTGCCAGTCTTTCTCGATAGAATCGCTGTCAAATAAAGATTTCCAGTCCACATTATTAAAGAGATCATTAAGTTCGGTCCAATTAGTTACATGATGAGTGAATCCAGTGGATAGAGTTGTACTACTGAGTTGATCATATTCATCTGGCAAAGAGATAAGTACAGTAGAATGATCCGATTTGCCAACAGGTGGTAGTGTTTTTTTCAAATTTAATTAATGAAGGACTAATAGTGAGAGCTAGGTCTAGGCAAGATTGTGATGATGGGGTGATTCTGGTTGGGACATTAACAATTTGATCCATATTGAAGTCAGCCAAAAAATCATTAAGAAGTCGTCCCGCTTGATTAGTATGGTTGCAGAAGGGCCATGAGCTATGATGAGCATTAAAGTCACCTAGTAGAACTGGGATAGTGTTGAAATCAAATTTGTATTCTGAAAGTTTGCCAGCCAAATGGGAGGTGAGATCATCTGCATTATTAGGTGGCCAGTATGCTGTACAAAACAGTATAGGAGTTTCTGTATTGAGAGTGAACCAAATTGTTTCAAAGGGTGATTCCTCCATATTGGCTTCTCTTTTTATAGGAATATTGGTTTTATAATATATCATGATTCCGCCTCCATTTCTCCCTCTATCTTTACGTATAAAGGCATAATTTGGTATACTTATTGCCACGTTTGGAACTATTGAGGTCAGAAAAGTCTCTGTTAAGCTAAAAATTTGTATTTCAGGGTGTAATTGAAGAAAAGCAATCACCTCATCAAAATTGCTGATGAGACCTCGAATGTTGGTGCTAGCAACCTGCATTTTACAGAGGATGAGAAGACTGTCTGTCCAATATTAGGGATCGGCGTATAATACAGCCTTTGAAATTTGCCTTATGCGCCTTACCACAGTTTGCACATTTAGCAGGACTCATACAGTTTTTATCAGGGGCATGACTGTCACCGCAGTTAATGCAGCGATGTTGTGATTTGCATGCGCTTTATACATGGTTAAATCTTTGACATTTGTAGCACTGAAGGGGTGGATTTATCCAGGGCTCTACTCGAAATATACTGAGACCGATATGGACACCATAGGATAAAATCCTACTCAGTTCATTTTTGTCCAGCAAGGTGATTTTAACACTTTGGAATCTGTTGATCGAGCCGGGTTTCATAAGGCTAATAACTTGCGTGGTACTTGGGTATTCAGTCGTGATTTCTGTTTCAATAGAATCAATGCTATATTCTACAGGGATACCGCGGATCAATACTGATTCATTGCGCGATGAACGTTCAGCTGTCATGTGTCTCATAGTTGCATTTTCACCAAATACAGTGCGTAGGATACCTTCAATCTTAGGAAAGATAATGTCTCGAGCTGAAGCATCAATAGCCTCTAACAGTATCTTACCACTGCTGATGACTTTGGCGCTTGAGATGTCAGCTGTAATTGAGTCATTTGCGTTCTCCAATGCCTTTTTGAGCTCCAATGTATTTGCATATTTTGTAGGATTTATCATATGTTCGATAACAATTGTATGATCAGGATTCACAAGGCGCTGGGGGTGTGGCGAACTCCGGGGTAATTGAAGTTTTTCCATAGATCCATTCATAGTGTGTCGCTTTGCTATTTCCAAATAGGATGGCTTCGTAACAAGTTCGGCTGTGTGTTTTTTTTCCAAAGAGTTAACTTTCTGTATTAATTCGTGCTGACTTTGACACGAGTTGTCAATTTTTTGGTTAAGTGCAGTTAGCATGGTCTCCACATTAATAGCTACCTGGAGTGACAGTAATGCAGGCACATCTAAGTTCATAGTGGCATACATTGAATCGGAGAAGCAATAGATTGAGTCAGTGTCGTTTGCCTCGAAAAGTTGATGTTTAATTGCTGCCACTTTTCCGGAATGAGAGCATGTTTTGCACAGGTAGAGGCCAGGATTCTCGTGAATGACTGCGTCAAGTTGTTTCATCGATAATCCAGAGCATAGGTAGTGGATCCAATGCCGACAGTTGGAGCATTGTATTACAGTTCGATTTTCCGGAGTACTGCACCAGCACTTCTTATTTGGTGGGGGCATGACTTGGAGTAAGTAGCGGGCTAGCTGGCAGCCAGCTAAGTAGCGGGCTAGCTGGCAGCCAGCTAAGTAGCCGGCAGCGCTAGCCCTTTTCCTTCAGTGCTGGTTCTTACGGCAATAAGTTATGCGTTTGTTCTCCAGAAAAGTTCGTCTGGGTGTTAGTCCAAGTAGGATCTGTTCACCGGCGCTGTTATGCCAAAGCCGTAATTTCCCGGTGGCTGCAGCTCCTTCAGCTCCTTCAGAGGCCTCTTTCACTGGTCTCTCTCTCACTGGTCTCTCTCTCACTGGTCTCTCTCTTACTGGTCTCTCTCAGTGTTTTCAGTGAGGCTGAGACATAATAACAAATAAATACCTGGTGACGATGTTGAAGTGGTTGTTCTGATCGGTCAGACCCTGCTCCAGACCAGGTCCAGAAGCCAGGACCCGACTGGAGTCACAGCCCTCACACACAGAGACCCTGAAGGGGCTGCTGGGGACCGGAGTGTCGTCAAACTGCACGTCCACACTGTGAACGCCTGAGAGAACCAACCAGACCTCAGTCACATGACTTCAGGACAGATAATAACTCTGCCGTTATGGTGCGTGTGGATTTACCGTTCTCAAACGGAGTGTACTCCACGCTGTAGGTGCCGTCCTTGTTGTCAGTGACGACGGTCTCGGTCTGAGCTCCGGACGGGTTTCGCACCTCAGCGGTCACATGGTCGCCTCCTCGACGAGTCACGGGCTTCGCATCCACAGTGAAGGAAGTGGTGGCCTCTCTGAACACCGCTGCACCAGAGGATCAGATTAAGATTACACAAACAGAAGATAAGAGAAGGAGAGAAGACAACGTTTCAGTCGTTACAGATGAAATGACAGCACTCAGGCATTATCCAACAAGGTCTATTATTGAAAGTGTATTAAAAAAGATAATAAAACAATAAAGCTAATCAACTCTAGTTCAAATTCCACCTGGGTCAAAGATAAGTTTATTGTGGAGAATACACTGTAGTTATCAGTCAGGAAGTTTCACCTTTACGCACGGCAAATATTCTACTGAATAATAAACATACATCAAGCAAATTTGAATTGATTAAAGCTGGAGAAAATTTTTGTTTTGCATTAATAAATGTTTTGTTTGTTTGTCCCAACAGAGTCTTGTTAAAGTAAAGTGTTACAAATGTCTTAGAGGTTGGGTGTTTTTTACATAGAAAAGTTGATCCACAGATGGGATTGAAGCCAAAGGGTTTTTAGAGCTAGGACTAGTGAAACCGTTTTTTTTAACATAGAAAAGCTATAATAGTTATTTTTGGCGACTTCAAAGTTTCCTAATTCTATCACAGAAAGAGGTCGGGGGAAAGTAGACTTAAATATTAGATTGGATGTGGATTTTTCCCAGCAATCAATCCAAAAGCTTCGTCCAACCCCTTTAGAAACTGTAACTGCTCTTTATTTTGTGAAATTAACTTTGAAATGAGTCTTTAAATGCTCCACAAAAGTGCAGTTTCTGATTTAAAACATGTCAAAAAACGCACAAGGAAACGCACTTTAAAAACCAAGCAGCATTTTCTCATTTTATCACAGACATTTAAACTTCAAAAACACCGCACTGAACCCGTACCTGTCCCGTCCACTCCGGGACCGAATGCTTTGATCTTGGAAGTGTCCACCGCTGGGTCGACAGAGACTTCGGCAGGAAACCCCGGGACCGTCTGCCCGCCGTACTTCAGCATCAGAGTGTAGAGTCCGGCCGTGAGCGGGACATACGTGACCGTGTACGTCCCGTCCAGATTATCCACCACCTCGGTCTTCAATTTACCTGAGACAGAGCCGTTCACGTGAGAAGATATTTTTAATGCCCCAATCAGTGACCATTTATCAGGAGCAACCAGAGGTGAACAGATATTTTATAACAGCTGGTACTTTTCAAATATGGAAAAAAAACGAATTCAACTGCTCCCTCTGGTGGAAGAATAGAGCATAAGGTGTAACTCTCTCTGGTCTCCCTCTCTGGTCTCCCTCTCTGGTCTCCCTCTCTGGTCTCCCTCTCTGGTCTCCCTCTCTGGTCTCCCTCTCTGGTCTCCCTCTCTGGTCTCCCTCTCTGGTCTCCCTCTCTGGTCTCCCTCTCTGGTCTCCCTCTCTGGTCTCCCTCTCTGGTCTCCCTCTCTGGTCTCCCTCTCTGGTCTCCCTCTCTGGTCTCCCTCTCTGGTCTCCCTCTCTGGTCTCCCTGATACCCTTAAACCACTGTACATTTTCTACTCAAGATATTGCATATTCTAAAACATGGAATAACAAAAGTATCATTATTATTTTGATTGCATAATATTTCTTTAAATTGTGAAAAACCTGAAAATCCAGAAAGAATGAAAAAAACAGTATTTACTGACCTGCTCCTTTTGCGGCAGAGGAAGAGTCTGGTTCGGCCTCCAGGGTGAGCTGACCTGGTCCAGCTTTGGAGCAGTCCACGTGCACCACACTCACCTCTCCCACCTGCACATGTTCACAAAGTCTCACTAAACTCATCATTATGGCTCAGTTTGAACCGAAAATCTAAATGCAGACACATGTTTTTGAATCTGTAGCCACTTTAAATGAAGAGTTTTTCATTCTAACCCTTTTTTTGTTCATGAGCACCTTTGATTAGCTTGGATACCAGCAGCTCTCTAGCCTGACTCTGGCCAGACCCTTGTAGTCCCGCCATGCACCACCAGAGGCAGGCTAGCAGCTCTCACCTGTTTAATAAATCATGTTGTTTTCTCATCATATATGTTTTTGTTAAATACTGGGGCGTTATGCAGTGGTCCTGAGGTCTCCCATGGGACAGTTTTCAGCATATGAAACAGAGCAACTGCATTTGCTGAAGTAGTTTCTCTTATTGTAATGAGTTAAGACTCGATGGATCATCAGGTGAGAGCAGAGGTGTCAACCCAGTCCTCAAAGGGCAGGTGTGGCTGGTACTTTTGTATAGCCCTAAACCACAACAGTAGATATCTCAGAGGACTTTACAAAGCTGTTGATTCGCCAAGTTCAAAAACAGGAAATGCAGTGATAAAAACACATAGAGCCATTGTCTGCCATTGACGTGTTTGTCTACTGGTGATTTCTGTCAAACTTGCCCGTATGCGTCAGGGGATTACAGAAGAACAAAACTAGCTAGAAACAGACATATTTTTGCTGATGAAAGAAGACAGTCCAGTCTTTCACAATCTGGTTTCATATTTCACATAGGCATAGCACATAATCTTCTGTGGGTCTTGGAAGTCAGTGAAATAGTCCAAAACGGCTGGCAGTCAGTGAGTTAAGGAGCAGAGACCAATGTCCATAAATATTAATAAAAATCAACAAATGTCGTTGAATATCCAGTGGATCATCACCATCATTCCAACCAAACAGGAGCAAACCAGACTCCACCCATTTCCTAAAGTGAGTCCAGTCTTAACCTGGAGACTAAAATGGGCGGAGCCTGGTGTGCTCCTGCTTGGTTTGAATGAAAACCTGCAGCCTCCACCGACCATCTCTGTAGCCAGCGTGACACCCCTGCGTCAGAGCCACTCAAAGCAGTCCTCTCTCCTCTCACCTTGCCCCTCTTGAGTCCGGATCCTGAGGCCTGGACCTTGGATGGGTCGAAGGGTCTGTTCACGTGCGCGGTGAAGGGCGACCCCGGCACGTGCACGCCCTCAAACAGGATGTTGACCAGGTACTCGCCGGGCTCCGTGGGAAGGTAGGAGACGGAGCAGGTGCCGTCCCCGTTGTCGGAGCACTCGATGTTGGCCTCGGTCGGACCCTCCACGGTCAGACCCAGAGCTCCGGTCCCTGCCGCGTTCGTGTCAATGGAGAATTGAGCCGGAGAGCCCACCAGCCCCCCCTTCAGGCCGGGACCGGACGCCTTCACCTGCGACAGAGAGAGATGATGGTGAACAAAACCTACTCCGAGTTTAGGAAGGTATGTAGGTAAGGGTTTCCAATGTACTTAAAACTGATACTTATAATCCTAAATATATGATGTGTGCGGGTGGTCCTGTCTTTTTCACTTTTCTGTATGAAAACATTACAGACATGTGAAAACTTCTGATAGAACCAAACCCTTTTGAGAGCAAGGAACTAGATTCATTACATACTTTTTTTTTGCGGTTTGAAAGTTAGCTATCCTAGTTTTAATGACCTTGAATCCATTGTCATTTAAAGTAGCAATATATAAGATTTTCATGTAAAGTCATCGTTAAATGGCTCTGATGTGTCAAAAGGCGTTAATAAACCGCTCTTTTCAAATACTTGTTTAACTGAAAACAGAGATATTCGAATTTCCAAATTGGATTTACAGCCTGTAAATCTTGTTATTGTTTTCATTTCGATGTCCCGCCCTCCACCGTTTCACCAATCAGAAAGTCTGTGATCGGGTTACCAGAACTCACCGCGTGGAGCTAATCTCACTGGTAAAGTACCATGTGGTGCAGAACTAAAAAAGGTCTCGTTATGATTCTCAAATCATTAACGACAAAAAGGTGAAAAAGTTGTTGGTTATAGATTTGTTGTTGACAAAACTCTTGTCTATTCAGCTGTTATGGTTCCAGCTGGATTCGTCTGCATATCTGGCAACCTGAGTCAGGGAGAGTGGGAGAGGCTGCAGTACCACTTTTGGCCAGAATGTTACAAACTGCTCCTTTAAGTTAGTAAAGTTTAAGTTTAAGTGTCATTTAAGTTAGTGTTAATTCAGTGTTCCTCGAACCTATTCCTCTTTTCTACTTTTTTTCCCCACGGATCCTTGAAGAGCTACTGATCACAATTACCCAATATTTTTCATCCCCAAATGGATTTACTCCTCTTGTATTTTTGTGGATCCACAAGCTGGAAAATGATATTATTTTAAACCTGCACAAGACAATTCCACATAATAACATAGTAGAGACATAGACAAGCACATGCTTTGAAAATATGTGACGCCGTTTAAACTGAAAATAATATTTGCTTGGACAAATCCACGGTGAGAGAACGCGGCGCTCACCTTGCTGGGATCTGGGGGCAGCTGGGCCTCCATGGGGAAGGGGCTGCCTGGGATGGGCTGTCCGTCGTAGGACACGTTCACAGAGTAGAGACCCTCTTCTGTGGGAGTGAAGCGCGCTCTCTGGACGTCCGCAGACACTGGCTCCAACCGGCACTGCAACGCCTTCTGACTGGGACTCAGCTGGAGACAGAGAAATACCACCTGAAGACAACTCCACTGGGAATGAGCTTAGAGCAGGGGACTCCAACCTGTAGCTCGGGAGCCACCAGTAGCTCGCCACCCCCTTCCAGGTAGCTCGCCAAAGGATTTAGAAATGAACAAATAAAATAATCTAAAGGATATTTCAATTTTTTTATTCATTACCATTATTTATTATTACTTTGTGCACTAGTAAAAAATTTGCAATGATAAATACTGACTGCACCCAAAATCAGGCTTGTTCACACCAACATATCACCATTTTTTTCCCAGGGCTTAAAAGAGTAGCTCTCTGCCTTTATCGTCCTGGGAAAGTAGCTCTCTGGGTGAAAAAGGTTGGAGACACCTGGCTTAGAGTCTTAGACCATAGACTGTATAAAAATGGACAATGCTAAAAAACTGATAGCTCAATGAATGTAAAGTGCTCATGGGACAAAGTTTTGCTTCGGCTCGCTCTAGCTCCCATTCACCCTAACCCTAATCGTTCAATTTGGGCTTAAAAATATGTGGTTTAGCGCCTGGTTATTTATATTCAGATGCCTTCATTCAGGGGTTAACTATAGCTTGCCATAACAACCATATTAGCTACCCGTCTGCCCCTGTTATTAAACCAGTAAGCTAACCCAGTCGGAAAGAAAATGCCATAAAAGGGAAAATAGTTCAAATAATAATGCGTCGGTTTTATATAACGCTTTTTTGGACACTCAAAGACGCTTGTTATGTTCAAATCAGACGAACATATCGAGACGTGAGCGCGAGGTCAGTCCACTCCTAATATACAGTCTATGCTGAAGACAGTAATACCAGGTGAACACAAATCAACCAGGAACAAAGCAAGACTAAGAGGACTGCCTAGGACTCATCTCATCTGACAAAATAAATGCAATATTTACCTATGCAATAGTAAGTAATAGTAAGTAGTAAGTAATCTTTTATTTATATACCGCCTTTTCACTGCATATCGGAGTCTCAAAGCGGTTTACAATTGTTATTTTTGGGAGTGGGGGTCGCCAGTACAGGAGGCACATGCCAGACCTATTGTACATATTTTTAGTGGTAGGGGAAACCGGAGCACCCGGAGGAAACCTACGCAGACGCGGGGAGAACATGCAAACTCCACTCAGAAAGGCCCTGGTCCGACCAATAAACACAAAGTATACAAATAGACATTAAAAGGCAGGTTTTAAAAGAGACAGAACCAACATTTTAAATATATTGTAGTTTTAAATGCACTATTCAGCCATGGAGGTGATGTTAACGGTTGTGCTACACTGTCTTTGATGCAGCCCTGTCTGAAATATGTTACGTTCATACTAGGGCTGTCAAACGATTAATTTTTTTTAGTTGATTAATCGCATAGTAATGGTGAGTTAACTCACGATTAATCGCATGTTTAACATTCTATTTCAAATCCACTCCAATTGAAGTTAAATGAGATTATCAAATATAATTACCAGTGTTGGGTAAGTTACTTTGAAAAAGTAATTAGTTATAGTTACTAGTTACTTCTTCCAAAAAGTAATCGACTTACTAACAGAGTTACTCCACTATAAAAGTAACTAGTTAGCAGTAAAAGTAACTATTGCGTTACTTTTTCGTTTGTCTTAGTACCGAGCTTTAGCTGGCTGTAATTTAGGATAACTTCTAAGTAGATTAATTGCTGCAACAACCCCACCCTATTTTAGTATGATATGTTAGTTTAGGGAACTGTCCTGCAGCCAAGCAGGTATAAGACAGGCCAAGGTGCCATTTAATTGAATTGCATTTATTTTTATCCATTGATCAAACAAACAGATTACAAAACTTGCAATTGAAAGAGACTATTTTAAAATAATTAGTTCCCAAAGACACACACGAGCAACACCCACGCCTGACAGTCAAGAACCAGGGAGAATACAGTACACAGAGCGCGCCTGACAGACAAGAACCAGGGAAAATACAGTGCGCAGAGCGCTGAGTATGTGAACGGAGCAATCGCTTGCTGCTGTTGTTATAATAGCTAGATCCATGCTTGCAGCCCGCGCAAAGCTCGCACTCACTCACAGCCGCTAACAACAACCAGAGCGGCCACGGAGGAGACCATCTCACAGCAGCATTCTGAGTGTTATTCTTATGGATAAATGGGCGAGTCATTCGGACATGCGTTAATGCGTCAAAAAAATAATAACGCGTTAATAAAAAATGTAATTAACGTGAGTTAACGCGATAATTTTGACAGCCCTAGTTCATATATTTTCTTCTGCTTGCAAAGGACAACGGTCGCATTGGTAATAAAATACTGGAAAAACTCACCAGCGCCACCTCCAGTTGACCCTGTCCGCCTGCACCTTTAGTGTCGATGGTGAACTGCTGCTCCTGCCCCACCTCCACTCCTGGAAACAAAGAAAGAAGATCAAAACAAACAGCTCACAGTTCTACAGGGATGGATATTTGTAGCAATGTTGCATCAGCACATACATTGTTATCATAAATCATTACATACATACATCGGCCCATATAAAATAAAATACTGCGGAGATTCACATATCATTACATTACAACTTTTAACAAAAAATGAAACCAGATTATAAACAAGAAATACAAAGTTGTTTGGTACGACCAGTATTTTCAGTAAATCAAATTGACGGCTATTTTTTTGTTAATATATTTGTTTTTCAGGCAAATATCTGTAACTTCCCATTAAACTGTACGAATATTGTCACTCACGTCCGCCGAGGTTGTCCACGGAGACTCGGTTCAGGTCCAGGGGAGCGGCCACGCCCACCGTGAAGGGGCTTCTGGAGATGGGGTCTCCTCCAAACTTCACATCCACAGACATCTCCCCCTGAAGTCACACACGCACCCGCTTCACCGATCAGAAAGTCTGATCTGAGTTGCCAGAGCTAATCTCACTGGTAAAGTACCATGTGGCGCAGAACTAAAAAAGTTCTCGTTATGATTCTCAAATCATTAACGACAAAACAAGAAATAAAACCAGGATTTCAATCTTTGTGAGAAAGGTGTTGGTTATAGATTTGTTGTTGACAAAACTCAGATTGTATGGTCTAGTTAGATTTGTTTGCATATCTGGCAACCTTAGTCAGGGAGAGTGGGAGAAGTTGTAGTAAGAAAAAAAAATATTGCATATGGAAAGTTACATTTCAGAGTAAATGTCAGAATTAAAACTGTATAAAAGCTCAATATATAAAACTCTGACAAATGCACAGCTTGAAGTAGGGTTTTCAGCTTAGACTTAAACAATGCTAAAGATGAGGCCTCAAAAACCAAAAAAACAGCCCTGGAGTTGTTTTTAGAGCCATCCACGCTAATACTAGGAACTTGACACACAAATGTAACTCCGCCCCTTCTGTCTAAAAACTCAGTGTTGCCCATAAATTATTTTTGGGTAGTTTCTCAGGTGAAATAAGGTTCTGAGAGTTTGCAGGCGACCATTTTCAAATTTAGAAAACAAGCAAACAGATTTAACTTCACCTGATGGTAGCTTTGAAAGAATTCTTTAGCCTTCATACTGGTTTAGCCATATATTTTCTACTTCAGATATTATTTCCCATTCTAAAACATGAAACGACAAAGCAAATAGTCATTTCAAAGACAGAAAGATAATGCGTAATATTTGTTCTTTAAAAATCAAAAGCAAAAATGTGACCAGAACGTTATGTTAAAAAGCGGGGGACATTTGCACTTTCATTTATATTGTCGGACAGTTAAAAAACATAATATTAATAATAACACAATATTTTTACCTGGCTGTCTGGGGTGTACTTGACGGTCTGGGAGTAGTCGTAGTTGTCGATGATCTCAAAGTCTTTGACCGGAGCCGAGAAGGAGACGTCCAGAGGAGCTTTCCCTGCGCCTTTAGTCACTACAGTGAAGTGGGTGGGCTTCCCGCTCTCCACACCTGAAAACAAGACACAGAACGGAGCGGTTAAGATTCCACACACTGAGCAAATGAAAAGATCAGAGAGAGGCAGACGGAAAAGGGTGGATGTAGCTCAAGAAACGATTAGAAAGACACAAAACACAATATTATCGTTCGAGTAGAAAGACTGAATATCTTAAAGTACAGGGTTGGATGATTATGTGTAGAAGAAATGCAGTGTTTTTGTCCCTATAATGAAGTCCCATAATGCACCTGTTCGAGAGAGTCCTGGGCCTTCAGCTTTGACCCGCGATGAATCATGAGAAGGATCCACTTTGACCATGAACGGGCTCTGAGGCACTTCCTGAGAGACGATCCAAAACAAACACATCTGATTAGAATATATACAGGCATAGAGATTGTATCATACTATTTTAACATCAAATTGTGATCTAATCCAGTGGTTTTCATGGTTTTCACACCAAATACCACCTCGGAAAATACCGCTTTCTGTGTGTTTTAAATTCAATAAATAATATGGTGTTATTTCTGTTTTTATTTTGGTTTTTTTTTAGATTTTTTTTTTTGCGTGCGTGGAATTTACCAATTTTAGTGTTAGCATTATTAACACAATTATTAACTAAATCTAAATCGCTGGTCAGAATCATAGACCGTATATTAGGAGCAGACTAAGTTCCAACACCACCGTAGCGCTTACCGAATGCAGAAGAAGCCGATATGAACATTAGTTAGCTGGAGCCAATTTCCTTATATGGGCATTTGTTTTGACTGGGTTAGCGTTACCGTAGCAGTAATCGCAGAGAATCAAAGAGAAACCACAGACCTTTTAAGCCCACATTGACACAAACAGTTACTAATCTAGAGGAATTTCAATGCAATGCAAGTCAATAGAAGTGTATAGGAGCAAAACTTCAGTCATGAGCACTTCCCTATTGGGCTTCATTGAGCTAGCGGGTTAGCATTTGTCCATCTATACACAGTCTACGATCGGAATACATGCGTGTAGTAATCACAGATGACGCAAATGTCTTCAGCTTGGTCATGAAAAGGTCAAACGTGAAGTACTAAAAAATGCATAAAACACCTTATCTGTAAACAGGACTTTGACAGTGAGGCGTCCGGCCGCAGGGGGGACATATTTCACCGTGAAAGTATCGTTGGCGTTGGGGATGATGTCGAAATCCACGTCTGCTTCTTTGTCTCCCACCATGTTTGCGTCACACTTAATCCCCACGCTCACGTCTCCTGCAAAAACACACATTCAAAACATTATTTAATCATTCCCTCATTTATACACTGTAGACTCCTGTTTGAAAGAGTCTTCAAGCTTCACCAGAATGACTCCTATCAAAAGGTTTAGCAAACTTTTTTTAAAGTCTGGCTCAATGTAATGAATGTGCTGGAAAACGGCAGAAAGTCCTAATTGTTTTGTGTTTTACTGTTGTTATTTTTCTTGCTTTTTTCTGTCTGAGATGTTGCTGCAGTTCAGTGTTCATGGTTTTGCACTGGTCCAGACCGGAGCAGAGAGGATTCATGGTTTTACACTGGTCCAGACCAGAGCAGAGAGGATTCATGGTTTTACACTGGTCCAGACCAGAGCAGAGAGGATTCATGGTTTTACACTGGTCCAGACCAGAGCAGAGAGGATTCATGGTTTTACACTGGTCCAGACCAGAGCAGAGAGGATTCATGGTTTTACACTGGTCCAGACCAGAGCAGAGAGGATTCATGGTTTTACACTGGTCCAGACCAGAGCAGAGAGGATTCATGGTTTTACACTGGTCCAGACCAGAGCAGAGAGGATTCATGGTTTTACACTGGTCCAGACCAGAGCAGAGAGGATTCATGGTCTGAACCAAGTGGATCAGGTGAAAATCCACTGGAGGAATGCTAACTTTTTGAAAAATGCTAATGAAGCATTTAGCATTTTACTTTGGACCAGAGCAGAGATAATGGTCTGAACCAAGCGACTACTCCACCTTTTGACCCGTCCTGCTCCACCCAGAGACTACTCCATCTCTGCTGCTGTGACCCGTCCTGCTCCACCCAGAGACTACTCCATCTCTGCTGCTGTGACCCGTCCTGCTCCACCCAGAGACTACTCCATCTCTGCTGCTGTGACCCGTCCTGCTCCACCCAGAGACTACTCCACCTCTGCTGCTGTGACCCGTCCTGCTCCACCCAGAGGCTACTCCACCTCTGCTGCTGTGACCCGTCCTGCTCCACCCAGAGACTACTCCACCTCTGCTGCTGTGACCCGTCCTGCTCCACCCAGAGGCTTCTCCACCTCTGCTGCTGTGACCCGTCCTGCTCCACCCAGAGACTACTCCACCTCTGCTGCTGTGACCCGTCCTGCTCCACCCAGAAACTACTCCACCTCTGCTGCTGTGACCCGTCCTGCTCCACCCAGAAACTACTCCACCTCTGCTGCTGTGACCCGTCCTGCTCAACCCAGAAACTACTCCACCTCTGCTGCTATGACCCGTCCTGCTCCACCCAGAGACTACTCCACCTCTGCTGCTGTGACCTGTCCTGCTCCACCCAGAGGCTACTCCACCTCTGCTGCTGTGACCTGAAGGACTGTTGCTGATTATTACTATTGTTAGCTTTTTAGAATTATCAATTTTATTTTTTATTTTTGCTGCTACTGGAGACCTGAATTTCTTCTACGGGGATCAATAAAGTATCTATCTATCTATCTATGGCAACTAGGAGGAGCTATAGTACCTTGTCTAACTTTGTTCTCAAGTCCATGTCTAGAGATGGGAACTAATACATGTCATAGTCTCGTTCAAGGTGTTGGTCAAAGTCTATGCCTCGCTCCCCGTTCTACAGCCTGAGTCCTGGATCTACAGCTCATCTGTCCCTGGGAGCAGATTCCTCAATCAATATGGTTTTTTGAGTTGTTCTTTGCTGATGCAGGAGGGTCTCAGGACAGCGATGACGACCCAGGACATTGGTCATCTGCCCCCTGTGGACCATGGCTCTATGTGGGTTTTTTATCATTGCATTTGTTGTGTCTGAACTGTTTGATTCTCTGATCTGTGTTGGCAAATTGACAACTTTGTAGAGTCCTCCGAGATAGAACTACTGTTGTGATTTAGGGCTGTACAAACAATTATATAAATTGAAATCATGAGAAGAATTGAAAGAATGTGTATGAGGTAAATGTCAAAGTCTGTCACTTTTTCATTCAATGCATTCAAATCAGAATAATTCTAATTAAGAAAGTCACTGAAATGAATCCCATGTTTTTTCTTTTTGCTAGAGATTATCTGTAAGAAAGTTAAATGGTTCAAACCAGGTCCAAAATGAATCCTGTATATGTTGCATTTCAGACCAACGTCTTGCTGCATCTCTGGATCTGCTACAGTCCACTAAAACCGAAACCATGTGTTGCATTATGTGTCAATCATTGTAGGAATCTGGACGTTGACAGGAATGAGACCAAAACCAGGTCAAACACGCCTCCCGCTATCACCGACACAGAAACTGCAACTGCACACGGAATCCAAGCCTCTGCTGTGACCTGAAAGTCTCCTCAGTGGTTTTTAAAAGTCTATTTTTTATCAAAACAGACACATTTAAAACATTTTACTTTAGTAGAATAGTAGAATATGGTTTCCTGTGTTTTATTTTCACATTACAAAAAAGTGTGAGGAGTACTTAGTCAAACACTTAGTCTTAGTAAAAACTTCAGTGGGACAACTTTCACTATCGGTAACTAAAAATACTTAGACGCTGTATGTACAAAACTGATCATAAAAACACTATACTAATGCCCCCACTCTCTGGAACTCACTACAGAACTTTAAATAACGACACAAAACCCACCCGTTTCAGCTTGCTTTAAATGTGTTCTTCAATGTATTTGTGTATGTTTTGTAAAGTGTCTTTGAGAGTCCAAAGAAGTGCTATATTAGTTTGATGTATTACTATTATTATTATACTACACCCATGGATCTATAATAATATCTGGATAGAGTATTAGTAGCTTATAGCTGTCCCACCAACGGGCACAGGGGGCGCTGTGGTACTGCAGACTAAATTCACGTGGGCTACTCAGCAAAAAGTCCCATTGAACTCAGTGTAAACTAAAACAGCTCAACCTCAGCTGACAGAGAACCTGACAGAGAACCTACAGCTTTCGTAAAGATGGGATTTTGTGGGGATTTTAGTGTCCCTTGTCATCCTGAACTTTTTTCTTCTTAAATCCTTCGGTTTTCTATAAATCCACACTTTACTGCCACAAACTCTGCTCCTTTTCCTCCTGCTCTGGCTCCGCTCTGATTGGTCAAAGCGCGGCCGAGCCCCTCTGTGCACGTGCATGAGAGCCATATTTGGCGCAAAGCATCATGGGAGCTCGTCCACTGCACAGAACCGGGAGGACCAGACGATGCCCAAATACGGTCGAGTTCTGCTAATCTTTCATTCCCTGTATCTCCCATGCTCTACTGAGAACAAGCCGTTGATTTGAATAGGCCGCCATCTTGGATCCCCGGGCCTTGTCTACGCCACACTAACTCCAGCTCGGTTCTCCTCCACTCACCGTCCCCGGCTCCGGAGCAGTCCACAGTGAAGTGCGTGGGCTCGTTGGCCTTGAGTCCAGAGCGCTCCACTCCGGGACCAAAGACGCGCACGTTGCTGGGGTGGCTGCCTTTGCCCACGGTCACCTGCAAACAGCCAACATTTAGACCCCATTAATACTTTCCAACGTGCTCTTACAAGAAACAGATTACCTTTGACGGCACCTACATGGATCAAACTCTTCACGCTGCAGTTTCAGGAGACGGTTCACAAGAAAGCATCAGAGTCACCGAACGAGTGAGATTTTATACTTAAATAGTCTTAATCACAAAGATATTATGCGTTTTTGAGGTGAAGAAGAATTATATTAGACATTTTGGCGTTTAAAAATTCTGCCACTTTTTACTTTGTCATTTCATGTTTGAGAATGCAGAATAATAACATCCTAAGTATAAAATATATATATATGTATAAGGAACCTATTATCAAGGGTAATAAATGCTTTCTGCTTGTAATTCTCTATGCTGCCACCAGAGGGAGTAGTAGAATTGTTTTTTTTCTTTCAAATTCAAAAATTACTGGCTGCAAACACAGGTATGTGATTGTAAATAGCTTCATTCCACTTGGGAAATTTCCAAAACTAATACATGGGCAATACTTGAAGTTTTTTAAAGCTGAGTGATGTCATAGTGGTACAATGACATCATACTCATAGGAGAGGCAGGGTTCGTGGATGGATAGAAAAAAACACTCCAGGTCCAAAGCCAAAAAATAAATATTCTGTTTTAACCTTTAAACAAAGGAATCCATGACCAACGTCTAGAATTATTTAAAATTGAGAAAATATACATATATCCCATTCAACACAGAAAGTGCCACATCCAGACCTGGTTTATGTATTTTATATTGCACGTCTGCTCTTTCATTTTTAGATCTTGTGTTTCTGTGTTTTTATGTACCCCCACTGGTGCTCCGTCTGTAGGTTCCTCACATATCAATAAAGTTATTTGAATTGAATCTGAATTGAAAACAAGAAACTGTGGAATTGCCAAATAATTCAATAATTAAGGACATAATGTTGATATTGAAAGTAAACCAAAGAACTTCTCTCTTTCGCTTCTTTGCTCACATACATTTGTAAACGCAAGGCTCTCAACAAAACCTGCCATTTAAAGAAGAAATGAAACAACAGATGTGGATCCGGATTGAACTTGTCTCCACGTTTGTGCTTAAACATCAGGGAGGAGCACACAAAAAAAGCAAACACGGCGCATTTAGAAATCACACAATGGAATTTATTAGAAAAAAATAATATTTGAAATCATTGGGTTAACACTGGTGAGATTAGTCGGATTAAAAATGAGGATTAATACATCACATTGAAAAGCACATCTGAAAAAGGACTTTTTAAGGAGAAGTGAGGGTTAAACCAGGAAACATGGATAAAACAGACTTAACTTGGGAATTTCCAGGACTTTTTCACTGATTTCTCCAAAAAAAGCTCTCATGAACTTGAGTGACTTGAAAACACACACATCCGCCAATTAAGATACATAGATTATATATTAGTCAACAAAGGAAAACTGTGAATGCGCAATTTTAATTCAGTTTTGTGATTTTGAGCGCAATCCTTTTGAGTTTCGAGGTCCTAATCTTAAGTCGTCTGGTAAAAATTCATAATTATAACTTGACGCATATACAGTAAACAGTCTTTTGCGTTTTTATCTATAATTTTCAAATCCAATGCAATTCCAAAAAAATTTCCAATGCCATTCAATTGTGTTTTTATCATGACTTGTCCAGGTTATTTCATGACCATATGAACCATGTAGCAGAGACCATGTCCAGGGCTGGTTTATCCCTGCTTGGGTCTGGCCACTATAACCCTGATTTTTGTCCCGTTTCATTGTGATAGAGGTTTTAAACATGCGGTTGTTGCACACACACAGGTTTGTTTACAGCTGTTTTCCGTGATGTAAGAGCAGTCGCTGAGCTGGGTGTGACCAGAGTAAACAGGAGGATGCACCAGACTTTCCGACCAACTCGCAGGAAAGAAATATTTTGAAATGTGGCACCACTTTTAGAAGACGAAACACTGAATTTGAAAGAGTAATTTGGCAGATTTTTAAGTTTACCCACTCCCTATGACCCATCTCCTAACCACACCAAGAGACGACACGGGCCATTGTGTGTTATATGTAATGCCTGAAACTGAAAATAACCCACATGCACGTTTTTACTGCATGACTAGTTTGAAAAGCACGTTATCTGGACCAAAATTTCAACATTGAGGGCGTCATTGTCTTATCTTACTATAGGAGTGTCCAAACTTATTAGTCAGAGGGTCAATTTAGTTCTCCAGTCTTGTCCAGGATCCGAAAACATACATTTTTAGAACCATTTTGACTGGATTCTGTCTGTTCTGGGCTTTAAATGGGGTATGCATATGTCCATAATGATGTCACACCACAGCCACATTAGCACAATATATAGGGACATTTGTGACACAATCAGGAGTATTTTGCTGGAGCTGAAGCTGGCTGGATGACAATATGAAAGTACCTCAATGGCTGCTTTGTATTAGCAAGGCAGAGGACCACAGGGCGTTAGTTTGGACGTGCCTTATGACCTCACAATCACAACATATTGTTTTATTCATGGCTTTACTGAATGTCGGATGATGCGTCAGCGTGTGTGGATGTCGTCGGCAAATAACCTTTTTCGGAAAAAGTTTTGTAATTAAAAACAAGTGGAGGATCGGCTTTTGGCTCGGATCCATCTGCTGGTTTTGATCCGAATGTCCCACAGTACGACACCCAATTTTCCATCTTCGTTGAGAAAAAGCAAGTATATTTATTCGGCTAAATTACAGGTCATAACTGTGGAGAGAAGACGCAAGAGGTTTTTGAGCCGTAAAGGTGATCTGTAATTAAATAATCTCAAGTCATACAGTAGTAATTTCCAAGCCAAGACGTAGCGTATCCATGGCAACAAGTGGATTCCAGTAGAAAAAGTCACGCAGTGCACGTTTATCCAATATAAGCTACACTTTATTCATCACCGTGGGGCAATTTGTCTTCTGTATTATGCTTTTGCTCTGAAATATGGTCCAACTCAACATAAATCATTAATAATACTTTATCTTTTGAATGTACTGTGATTATGTATGATTTTAAAGCCTGTTTTTTACTGTCTCTCATCGTGTTTTGTTCTGCACTTTCAGTTCAAAATCGGAATCCTTTTGTTGCCTTGTGTATGAGTTATGTTAGACAAATAAACTTGCCTTGCCTTGCCTTAGTAAATCTCCCTTAAAAACATTGAATGACAAGTTCTGGCAGAGCAGTATCGTCACACAAAGAAGGCCACGGTGGCAGGCTAACCACTCTGCCAAAACTACCATTTCTAAATAAGGTGAACTTGAGATCCCTGCTGTTCCTCAAGATCCAGGATTTTCGGGGCGTGTCTGTTTTTTCTGACAATCTCGCATTACCTCATCGCCAGGGAGCGGCCCGAGACAGGTTTGAGACTCGCCGATGATAAAAAAAAAAGCACAGAATACCTCCGACACTCCGGGACTTGCACAGAACTTGCGTGGGACTAAAGGGACTGAGGCGATAAATCATTGAGCGGCTATTGTGTCATTCGAACCACAAGATCTGTCACTTTGAATGAGCAGTTGTGTAATATCACGAAACATGAAACGGCCTCGCTCCATTCACTCCGTACAAATGTCCCAGGTGCTTTGAGTTTCCCGTCATTTCCCGGGAACGCGGTGTACACAATATGGACTCGGTGATATTTGCACGAGCTTGTCAGATATCTCATTGTGTCGGGAGTCGCTGCGTGCATTCCACAATGTGTTCATGCGACATCACAGCATTCCAAAGAGCCTTTAGTCTAACGTGGTGGTGGAGGGCAGCTGAGAAATCTTTCCAGGTAACGGCAGTAAGTGTCAAAAGTCGGTTAGTTTAGAGCCAAGTTCTCTGTAATTCCTGGGTCAATCCACATGAAACAAAAATTGTCTCGAAGTTATTTTAATTTGTCAGAACATATCAACTATGGTCTAACTATTTTTCTCATGGAGGTGTCAAAAAGTGGTGACAATTTTCAAAAACATACGCATGATGTTGGCCCGGGAAAGGCCTTAAAACATAATAATAATACGGCATGTTTTTTTAAACTTGTTTTATCATGTACTGGGATAATTTTGCACGTGTATTCCAATGTGGTTTTACTGCAAACAGCAAAATAAACTGAATCTGAATAAAATCACTATCAAATAAAGTTCTGGGAAACCATTTGGATCATATCTTTCTCAACATTTCTTCCAAAAAGGTTCCCATCTATCCTATCTTTCCCATCAACACACATGATTGAATAAGATCTACAGACATTGGCACATTGTTCTCGGAGATACACTAGACTGTCTGCCAAGTTTTCTGCTTCACCCTGGGTCGCAAGAAAGCCTAACACACAAAAGACTGGTGACACTGCTACTGAGAATATTGTATGTCCCAGTCATTTGAAAATTATATTTGATAAAAAGAAATTGTATTTTTTTTTGTATGTGTCATATTGTAATTGTAATTTTTTGTATGTGTAATTTCAATATTTTAATTGTTTTAAATATTGTAACTATACAAATTAGGTATACAATTGATTCACACTGTCTGGAGAACACGAGTTCTGCGTGCCTGTCTTTAGCAGGGATGTGTGTGTGTGTGTGTGTGCGTGTGTGTGTGCATGTCGGTCTGTAGCAGGATTGTGTGTGTGTGTGTGTGCATGTCGGTCTGTAGCAGGATTGTGTGTCTGTGTGTGTGTGTGCATGTCGGTCTGTAGCAGGATTGTGTGTCTGTGTGTGTGTGTGTGCATGTCGGTCTGTAGCAGGATTGTGTGTCTGTGTGTGTGCATGTCGGTCTGTAGCAGGATTGTGTGTCTGTGTGTGTGTGTGTGCATGTCGGTCTGTAGCAGGATTGTGTGTCTGTGTGTGTGTGTGTGTGTGTGTGTGCATGTCGGTCTGTAGCAGGATTGTGTGTCTGTGTGTGTGTGTGTGTGTGTGTGTGTGCATGTCGGTCTGTAGCAGGATTGTGTGTCTGCGTGTGTGTTTGTGTGTGTGCATGTCGGTCTGTAGCAGGATTGTGTGTCT